CAAAAGGAATTACGCTCCAGAATCAGATAAGACAGAAGTCTCAAACAGAGAACGCAGATGAGATGAGCACGAAAGAAAAAGAAAAAATTAGGCAGAAATTTGTTTCAAACAACCGAAAAGCCCTTATATATATATATATGTAAGTAGCACCCACAGACCAGACAAAATACAAACAGTGTAAGTATAGGTAAAAATGGCTGTTCCATGCACCCAAGTAATACGTGTCGCTTACGCGTCTCGTGAAGTCTCCTTATTTTAACATTGTTGAAAATTAATTAATTAATTAAAAAAAAAAAGAGTTTGTCAAAATCTAACTGCAGAAAAATGTAATTACACGACTTCAATTAATTAATTAATTGCTTTTTACTTTTTCTTAATGAAGAATTAATTGATTTTACTTTTGATTAGCTGCACACGCTTTGCATTTATGGGACTATATATATATATATATATTTATTTATTTCTATCTTCAAAGCCTCCTGAAAAGTTATGCTCTATTTGTTTGTGTGTATGCATGTATATACATATATAGATATGTACATATACTAACTTTACATGCATCAAACTGGGAAACTAGTTGATACCCAGATGACCAGATTAAGCAGTTTTGCTCTTTACTGCTCTGGAGACAGGTCAATGAACTTAACTTTGACAGAAGGTAGAGAAGAATATAAATTAGGTGTATGTGAGTGTGTATCTATTTGACAATTAAAAGTTGGCAACGGGTTAACGCGCATTTAGACTTTGTGTATATGCCTATATGTGTATACACACACACACACACACACACACACGCGTGTACATATATATATATATATTGTGCACTGTGGAAGTCTCCCAAGTGGATGTAAGGATGACTTTAAGCATTAAAGAACATTTATACTTTTGAATTTTTCAATTAGAATCCAAGAAATAAACTCTGATTGTGTTTGAATTTATTTATAGAATTTATAATTTTAAATAACTTTATATGTAATTTAACTAAGAAAATTTGCGATTACAAAATCATAAAACATGACGAATTTAAATAATTCTTCTAAATTTTATTAATTTTTTCTAGAATTTAGAGTGTATTATTTTAATATCACTTAAAATTATAAAAAATAAAAAAAAAATTTCATTATCTATGAAATAAGGCAGTTATTTTATAAAATAGTAAAAATTTGTGTCCTGTATAATTATTTTCATGTATAATCGAGATGACATATTTGCTATATATATATGTATCACATATACAACATTTAAGATATATACATATTATATATGGGCATGCATTACCATGTAAATTATAGGTATACCCTTTTAGCAACTATTTATAAATTAGACATATTTGCTATATATATATGATAATGTTCATGGAAAATGAAGTGGAGCACCAGTACGTGTATATATATATATATATATATATATATATATAATACATGTATTAAATATATATTAACGTATTAAATTATATCAATTTTTAATATGATCACATGAAAATTATGAATAAATTAAAATAGACTGAATAATTTAATAATGTTTAATATGATCACAGGGATCTTCATTGGTGCAGTAATGATTCATGCCTTTTCTTCTGCCAAGTTTTGAAATTTAATTTAACTAATATAATTTGATTGGTTGATTTTTTTCTTTGATGGTTCATATACATATACATATATATAAATATAAATATATGTATGTATTGATTCCAATTAATATAATCATGAATACATACAAAATGTGAAAGATAAATAAACTAAGAAACAATCGTAATCAACCACATGCATGCATCAAACCATATGTATATTATATAGCACGTGGTTTTAATTTTACATTTCTCAAAACTTCTTATTTAATTAAAAAAAAATACAATTTTGGAAGTAAGAGGTCAACCATAATCGAATCCGACGAAGATAAAGACTTTTTCCAACCCCCTTTGATATTTATTTTTTACTTTCATTTATATATATATATATATATTATATAAAACATAAAATTCAAGTTCCTAATGTTAAAATTAATAAAAATTATTATTTAAAGGGTAACTTTTTTTTTTAATAAAAAATAATGATGAAACAATTTCAATATTAGTGTTGATAACTAATATTATAAATTCAAAAGCACATATAACCGGGTGTAAGTCATAATGCCGGTGATTTAAGTAGATCAATTTTTGGGGAGTTATAACATTTGTTAATGAAGATATAAGGTATAGTTTCAGTATATATTACTAGTTTTTGCATTAATTCGTGAAATTTTGTCTCTATAAATTTGATCATTAAACATGTATATTATAATAAACTATGTACACATAATTTATAAATTATAAATAAATAAATAGTTTATATATATATACGACGTCGTTTTCTGACGTGTAAAGCACGAGCTCTTGTCTTTGTTAGATTTATAAAATATTAATATTAATATGAGTCTTGTATTGAAATGTTCAAAGTCAAGATCCCGCCCGTCTTCTACCCACCCACCTTAAGCTCTCTCCCCATGAATATTTCTAAATTATTTCAGCAATTATTACTAATAAAATTTGTAACCTACTAAAAATTGTTCATTTTGTTCTAGATTATTCCGGATTAAACCGAAATCAAATCGGACTAAGTTGGTTCGAAGTGAGTTTTTTAAATTTGTCCAATCGAGACAGAAATAATTCAGATTTAACGTAAAAAAAAACGTATTCCGATCTAATTTGATTTTATTTACTATTAAAAAGATAAAAAGTATATTAAAAAAACTAACGACTAAAAACCCTAACACTTGATCGACACACTCTATCTAGTAAGTCTCCGAATTGACTCTTCTTTTTTCTATCGACAACGCACTAAAAATTAGTAATTTCTTCGTGTCCTTCTTTTCCGAGTAATACACATTATTTAATAGAACCGAATTAAGTTTTTATAAAATTTATTCTAAACCTATTTTTATTATCATCTTTATTTATTAAAAACAAAAACTAATTAATTTAATTACAAAATCAAGTTTTTAAATTTTAAAACTCACTCTTTCATATAACAGGAACGAAATTATATTTTAAATATGATATTTTTTGAAATAATATTTCATGTCACATTAATTTCATATTTAAATTAAATTATCTGTTCTTGTTATTCATTTTTTGATTTTTTTTTTTTAAATTATGAAGTCTTGGGAATATTTATTTATTTATTTAAATTTGAAAAATATTTAAAAAGAAGTGCCTCGTGCTTCACGAGTGGCCGGTGATATGTCGGCCATTCTTTTTATTATTTTATAGTAATTAGTTTAAAAAAATAAATGGGCATTTAATATGTTCACTAAACAAGAGTTCCAATTGATTAATTAATTAATTAATTAACTAATTAATTAATTAATTAATTAATTAAGATTAACAATGATGTGAAAGTGAACTACCAATGCATGCATGCCTCTCAATTTACGTCATGCTATGTGGCAACTGGTGCGATTTTAATTAAAAAAAAAAAGAAGAATTGAGAGAAAACCTTCAACACGGTCGATTACGGTCTCGTCTTCTCGTATCATTTTCGTCTTCTTCCTTTTACGTTGATCCATTCTTGTTATTTATTTACTTGTTTTTGCGCTTTTATTTTATCTATAATATATATTCGAGTTTTAAAATAAAAAAAATTAAGAGAAAATCTTTAAGGCGTTCGATTAGAGTCTCGTCTTTTTATATCACCTTCATCTTCTTCTTTTTATGTTGGTCGATTCTTATTATTTATTCACTTATTTTATAATTAATTATCGTCATCTTTGTTCAATAAATTTTTTTAATATTATTTAGAATTGTTTAATAAATTCATGTATGTTCGAGATTTTAACAATTTAAAATGATATAAAAGGTTTGATTTAACAATTTCAACAAGTAGATATGATCAATTTTAACACATCAATGTTGATTTTATGTGTTTGCCGGAGTTATATATACTATATATTTTATACTTATAAAATTTAAATTTTTTTCCTCATATATGCATTATAAAAACTTTTATTATTTTTCGTAAAAATTTAGTGAAGAAATTTTGTAAAGACCTAAAACTCAAAATAAATGAATTTATATTTTTAAATACGGAAACAAGTAATAATATTAGGGTTTACATTCCTTATACAATAAAACAAAATCCTCAATAGAGTTATATGAATATCCCTACTATAGCGGATCGTAAAGACAAACAAATAAATGATTTAAAACAATTAGATAGATATTTTAGGGGTTAACCTCCTCTAACTCTTGAAGGGATCCAAGAGATAAACTAGTCACAACTTTCTTACTGAATGAGATATGGATCTTAGTTATATTGATTTGAAATGTTTAATAGAAGAGTGAGTTACACTAATCCAGTAAGAATCTCATACTAATTACTAATACAGAAAATCAAATATTGATAAAAATCACAAGAATAATTAATAGAGCCCTTAATTTAAGTAAATTTATATATCATGAAGAAAACCTTTTATTCCACTTACCGTTACTAGTTTTTCAAAAATCAACCTATAAACACCAATATCCATACAACTTTTCAATTTCACGCACAAGTGAACAAGAAACGATAATTTTTCTTTTTTACTTACTTACTGGTACCCCTAGTGGTTTATAGGGATATCCCCTTACGTGTGAACCTAATATCCAAATTTATCAATTAACCGGCCGTCTTCATACCCTATCTGGCAATGGGCGCCAACATTTCATCGCCTTGATACCCTGTCC